GGGGGAAGGAATTTCCCAGGATCCCACAGTGACTACATGATTGATTTCAATCAGAAAAACAGGTCTTTTCATCCAAGTTTATGCTAGATTAATAATCCATATTGTATCTGTATTTTTTTGATCATGAAGTAAAAACACAAACAATGCTTCTACAGAATTTACTTTATTGACAAGTAAATCAAGGGAAATATATTGAACTCCCCAAAATCCAGGCAGAGTAGGAGTGTATTTATAAATTGAAGGGAGTCACTAGAGAAAAGTCAGCAGAAGCAAGAGAGAAGGACAAGGGAGCTGGTGAGTCAGCAGAGAACACTGGTTCTGATTCAGCATTTTCCAGGGTGCTTTAGGTTGATCTTCCCACCGCTTTTCCTATAAAAAAGAAGCGCAAATGATGCTCAGTGCAGTATCATTCGTATTCATTACAGAGGTTGGAAGAAGGTTTAACTCTGTCGCAGTCCATGCAATCATTTGATTTACACACATCTGTGTCTGTGATTTGGCAGGTGTTAATTAAACACACTCAGAGTAACATCTGGCCTAACTGCAGAAAGCATGAATCTTAAACAAATTTCAGAGTTTTACTAAGGTTTAGACCTTTTGGTTTTAACCGTTCATTATCTGAAAGTAAAAATGTGCACAACTGGAAAAGGTAGAAAGTGACAGGAGAAATAATGGCAAAGAGGCTATAATGTCACAGTTCTTAACTGATGGAGGTTGAACTATATTTGAGCATTTGGAATTTTATAGCAGATACTAAATCAAGCCTCCCTGACCCTACTGCCCTTGGGAAAATTTTGGTGTTGATGTGTTAGTCATGTTATGTATAAATGTAGGCATGTATGTATTATGTATTGACTCAATATTTATTAATATCATTCTATCTGCTTAGTCCTGTTATTATTGATAGGGAGTTATATGGTCCTTTCGCTTAGAAATTTTATGGTTAACTTGAGGGAAATTAAGGCACTCATGGAAGAAACTCTAATACAAGAAAATGATGAGAATGGTATTGGAAGTGAGGTACTTTTTATCTGGGTTTAATCTCCCTGCTTTTAGAGCAATCAGACCAAAAGAGTGATTGATTAAATAAATTTTTATTAATAATAAGTTGCAATTCATCAGGAATCTCACAGTTAGCTAAAATCTACAGTACCTGTTGTTTCTTATGAACATGCAAATTCAATAAATATTGGCCCTTGATAGAATCTTCCTAATATACCTACTATCTGTAAAGTTTGAATAGTCTGAATAATAAGGGATAATCTCCTCTATTCTTTATTGAAAGGCTCTTTTTATCAGACTAAAAGAGAATGATGCCTTAGCAACATATAAGTTGTTATAAAATAAAATGTCTGAAAATAACTTGTGAGAAAATTTATCATTGGTAAAAATATTTTACGCAAGTTTTCCATGTTTCTGATTTTGATGAATTTTCAAACTTGACTACACCTCTAAGAATTTATTTCATCTTTTACAAAATTATTAACAGCAACAACAAACATCACTGGATGAAAATTACTGAAATTTTAATCAGAGATAAATGAAAAAATAAGACACTGTATTAAAATTCTTAAAGATCTGTAAAAATTTCCCCGAGTCAAATTGAATAATAACAAAGTAAAATAACTAAAATTGTTTTCAGGTAATTTATTATATAATTCTTTAAGTTTGTTTTTGACCCATTTGTTTTTAACCTATTTGCCTGAAGCTAACTTCTTCAGTTTCTATTGGTGGGTATGTGCAGAACTTTCTAGAATATCTCAAGGAAAGTATCATAGTCTTATTCTAGAAGTTTGTGTTTGCGAGGGAGTTTTGGTGAGTGTGATACTTACACCACCGCCTTACAGAAGGCACATTTATTGCCATATGTCTGGCCGTCAGAACCACAGTGGGGATTAGATTCTCGAGTGCAGTAAACCTTGGGATCCTGGAACTCACCACAGTCAACCTAACGAAGTAAGCACAGTGACATTGACGTTAATGCATTCCGTCTACAGGACTGTCCCTCAGATGGAAGCTTGGGCAGCAAACTTAAACTTATATACAGTGTTGTATATAGCTGTGATGTAAAGTTCCCTGAAATAGAAACTCACTTTCCTTATCTGCCTAACTAGAATATATTAAACATATTTAAGGCTTTTTCTTTAAGAAGTAGGAAACACATTGCTACAGTTACTGTATTGAGCAGTAAGTTAATGATGTAAGGCAGATGCTTCTTAAGTACGGAGAAAAGCAAAAGCTATAGGTATGACTTTTTGCTTCAACACTAAAATTGTTCCAATTGAGAGTAGTTTTGGTCTTTAAATGGCTTTTTTTAAAAAACTGTATTAATGTAACCCCATAGCACTCCTCTGCATTGCTTTAAAGATATGGATAATCACTGCAAGGAGCTTCCAGATGTTATCTGATAGCTTGTTAGTTTGACTTGCTGCGTTCCTTCACTGTCTCTTGAAAACAAAATTCTAATGTCTTTGTGTTAACTTAATCTGTCCCAGAGTTTGTTTGTGGAATTTGAACTTCTGTAGCCACTGTGATAACTGAGTAATGGTTGCCTAAGTTGCTTTATTTTGAAGGATTCTTGAGATTGCGTCCAGCCTCGGTGAGAACACATGCTGTGACCAATTAATAATTCTCATCGTGGGCTTTGCAGGAATGATAGCGCCTGCGCTACTAACATGTCCCCTCAGTTATAGTGGTCTCTCAGAAATAGTCTGGACTTTTAAGATTCCTTTCAATCCAGTGTCAATTGAGTCAATATTTGGTGTGCAAATGACATTTGAGCCATCTTATTCCAGGGTACAGGCAACAGGTAGAACTGGCGTCCTTCAGATGGCAGCTGTGTGGAATGAAGTGACATTTAAACATGAGTAGAGGGACCACACTTTACCCCATCCAAGCTCCGTTAAAATAATACCATCTTACGTTTATCAGTTGCTACATAATATCCAAACTCCTCTCATATGGATTAACTCGGCTGAGTCTCATAATAACCCTGAGATGCACACTGAACAATATTATATTAACCAATTTACAGACGTGAATGCTGATCCTCAGGAAAATTACGTGGCTCACCAATGCCACACAACCAGAAGCATTGAGACCAGTACTTGAACCTACTCCTTATTGCTGACCCTGAGTTTCCGAACAATGTGCTCTGGTTGATTTCCAGCACATCCTCGTTGAGAGAAATTAAGACCAACCGTCACTCTATACCCTTGACCACACTTACAGTCGTGCCATGTAGGCTTTATTAAAATTCCTTATTGGGGGACTGTATGGGCACAGGTGAGAGGAGTCGCTTGTTTATGGTATTAACAAACCATGTGAACTGACAAAGCCCTTTCCAGGTTTGCACGAGGAAATGCACAGCAAAAGAGTCATAGGATTGAGTTTAAAAATATTATCACATATATCAGATTTAAGGCATCTGAGAATCTTAAATTTACCTTTTGATATATTTGGTTGAAATTTGGTGTCTTCTACTATTGAGAGAGTACCAGAGATTTTCTTAGGGCTTAGTCAAGTAGAAGATACCTAGGCTCCTTGTAATCTTACCTACAGCCCCTTTCTCCACTGCTCGTAAGGATAACACATCCTCCTGTACTACTTACAGGAGAGTCATCTTTAGTTTAGGTCTCAAAAAAAAAAGCTGGAGAATCTTTCGGGCATTATAAACTATAGGATTTTTTTTCAAAAGCTAATGCATTTTGTATTTGTCACTAATGTACACTTTAATTTTTTTCCACCTTAAGCATAAATGCTTTGTTGTCTCCTTAGTGTTCTCAGGCAGGTAGGGCTGCCGCATGGCATGGTTGGACAAGTACACTGAGTTGATGGCACAGCTGGGACCGGCCCTGAATGCTCTTTCTGCCCTCCCTACCCTCTCCCCCTGCCGTGGCTGGATAGGGTGCAAGCAGGTCACCCTAGGCTGCCGTTGGGATCTTCTCAGCTAGAAAGGAAAGCACCCCCTTCACGTTCCCCCATATCCCCTCCTAAGTGCCTCCTCCCTGGGCCGGCCCTTTCTACAGTTAACATTCACTGTTGGGTTTTCAGCACCACACCCAGCGAGGTCCTACTCACCCTCTCCCTCTGTGCCAGCTTCCAGTCCTTTTCCTACCCGGCTCCCTCTGTAGGCTGAGCCAGTCAGTCGGTGCACTCTGCCTTCAGGCCCAGGCCCTCCCTGCACAGCCTCCCCCACCTGCAGCAGCCTTGCTTAGCTTCTCCTAGCTGCCTCCAGCCCCCAACCCCCACTGCCCCCAACCCATCCCCCAGTTCAGACCAGGGCTCAAGCCGTCTGATGCCTTCTGCTTTCAGGATCGCTTGCTCCCTGTGGGCACGCCACCTTACAAACCTCTTCTAAGTCTTGGCAGGGCCCTTCAGGCTACTGGTTAGCGGACCAGGGCCCAAACCCAAAGCCAGAGTTTCTGGCTGTACACTTTTATAACTGTGTGCTTGAGTCAAGAAAATTCTTTAAACCTCAGAGTCATCATAGATATTTTCATTTATTTCACAAAGAGCTAACAGGTAATTAGTATTTGGAAAACAGTGCCAGGTGCTGGTGATAGAAATAGGAATTGGTTATAAACACTACATCAGTAAGCTCACTATCTTATCTGCATCAGGGAGGCAGAGGACAGGTAATTACGGCACAGTGCCCCAGTGGGACAAGCCGCAAGCAATGTGGAAACTGAGGGAAGGGCGTCTCTACAGGTTCTAGGTATTTTCGCTGTAAACATCTTTGCTGTGAACATCTCTGCCACAAGCGTTTCCCCCACATTTTCATCAATAGCTAACCAACCATAAGGCAGTTTTGCTGTATAAGATAAAATCACTAGAAGTAAAGAGGGACATTAGAGAGGGTATAATGAAATTCATTTCTCATCACAAAATTAAAAAGACTTTATTGCAAAATACAGACTATTTAAATTCATTTTAAATGTGCGTAGATTTATGGCAATATTGCACAAATCCCCAGTTTTATTTTGTGGATTATACCTAAGCACTTGCCTTTGAAATCTTTAGTTCATAATATTATAACCTTTTTGCTTGATATGCCTCCTTGTTGGACATCGCACTCTTTTTTTCTTTTTTTCCAAAATTTCTGCCTTCATTGAGAGAGGCATTTTTTTTCCCCAAATACTAGGATGCACATTTGTTACTCGGCTTTATATTGTGTTGTGTTTGTCCCTGGTATATTGTCAAGTAAGTTTTATCACTGCATTTTCTATCAAGCAAGTAGACATTGTTGTTATCATCTGCTATTTTAAGACCACCACGTCTACTCCTCACTGTCTAGACCATTAAGAGGGCTAAGATTTATGTAATACAAAAATGGGGAAATGAAAGCATTAATGGAGAAATGAAAGCAAACTGTCTACCAGCTGACTCCAGATCGTCAACTGGAACCATCAGCCAGTTAGTGTATCTTTTACATGCCTTATGGCTAATTAGTCAGAGCGGAAAAACACCTGTGGCAAAGATGTTCGTGGCAAATAAGCTAATGATTATTAAAAAATACTGGACCTGGTCTCCATGGTAGGGTAAGGAAAAGAAAAAAGAAATTCTCTTACGTGAAAGAGATGCCGCCTTAAGCCACCTTTCCCTGGCCACCGGCCCTCTGATCTTGTGATCCAGCCTCTCTTGTCCTTCAGAAAGCAGATATGGAAGTGGCTCTTGGGGAGGGTCTTTGTTTTGAGAATTTCTAGATCTCACCTCCCTCCCCAAACCCACTTCCCCCTTCCACTGCCCTGGGAGTGAGACTAGGAAGAACACAGGATTTCAGTGAATAAAACCAAATCAACCAAATGGCATATGAACAAACCTCCCTAACATAGATGCATTTCATACTTTTAAATTGCCCTGGCCTTCCACGATCCCTGAAGGAAGCTCCGGAATCACGTCAGAATTTGTTCTGCCATTTGCCTTTGGCCCGTTGTGTTATCTTCAACAAAGTACTCAGTATCTGTGCCTCAATTTTCTTAACCAAAAATTTAAAACAAAACAAAACAACCAAACAAAAAACAATTACTATGCCTTTCCCCAGGGTTTTTATAAGGATGAAACGTGGCCACCTGAGCGTTGTAGAAAGTCAGTGTACAATTTTTGAAATAGTCCTGGATGAGGAGTGTAGAAAATAAGCTGCTCATTGTAGGCCTGACCCAGCTGTAGCTCTCATCACATTCTGAAAGGCTCTGTGGCTCAAAAAATGCCAAGTACCACCGGACTAGGCGGTTTCTAAGGATTCATCAGCTTTGATGATCCAGGATTTAGCAGTGCATTTTTCTAGTAGAGCAGCTTAACTTAGTTCTTTAATTCTTTAGTTGGGTGGGAGAAATAACATCTGTTGCCCAAATGCTTCCTCCTTTATGTTTAAAAGATCCTCTTCACTCATTGTGTGAAAAATGTTCACATGGTGACTGAGGACAGAAAAGGGCCACTGTGAGAGCCCTGGAGGTTGGGGAAGGTGAAGAATGCCTTTGCAAAGCCAGCCAGAAATCCCTTCTGTGAAGCAAAGAGTGAAGCAGAGGAATATCAGCGTTGAGACTAGAAAAGAGCCCACACAGCTCCCATCCCTGAAAGAGATAGACTGATTCCTGAATGCAATGTCATTCAACTGCCTATATTTCCTCTCCTTTTTTATCTTTTTATTTTAGACTCCTTTAATTGAAATCCAAGCAATTGGCTTCTCACTGGAAGTCAAGCAGGTCTAGACAAAGGGTAATGATAGGATTATCTTTTCTCTTAGTATCCTCTGTGAAGCATTTGGGCGATCTAGGAGAGCTGAAATATTCCCTGCCTCCCTGCCCCCGCCCCCAGGTCTAGTTGAAATGCCCCAGGGTTCTGTGGTTCTAGGGTATTGTCTTGTAGATGGCATTAGACTAGCCTAGGTTTGAATTTTGCTTCTCCTACTTATTGGCTGCATTACTTTGTGCAAACACTCACTGCGCTGAGTTTACATTCCTGACTTCTTTATGGGGGGCTGACAATGCCTATGTTCTAGGGTTGTTGACATGATAAATGTTACAAAAACACTTAGTGAAGTATCAAGTATCCATTGGAAGATTGCTATAACGAACACTAACCATGTAAGTCATATCACATACTAGAATTTTTGCGCCCATTATTTCCTACCCTAATTTAGTTAGCTTAAAAAAAGTTTTTAAGTTTTTTTTTGTTTTTTTGTTGTTTTTTAGATTGGTGTTGGATTTAACAAGCGCCTCCTTTTATTTCCTTAGATAGTCCAGCTTCCAGAGACGACTTCTAGGCATTTGGGTGCCAATGTTTAGTATCAGCCTGCCCCCTTGTGGTTCTTCAAAGAACTATGCTTTCTAAAATGGAATAGAGTGACGCTTTGCGTACTCAAATTAGTCATCGTTGCTAATGGTGACTACAAAACCATTTAACTTGGCTGTAAAGTAAGCTTATGTGGTCACTAAATCAATTAAGGAGTCAGCATCATTGATACTTTAGCATCTTAGTTCTACAGATACAGCCAATGAAAATTTGCAAATACACACACACATACCTAAGATGAAGGACTTCATTTCTTCTTCCCTTTCCTGAAAAATACTACTTATGTGGTTAAATCAGTTCCTTTCTTTATTTTGTCAGTTTTCCTTACCCCCCTTCCTGACTTGGTTTCTACTTCCCCTGTCTTCACATTCCCTCCACACTACCAGAACTGCTCTAAAAATGACACCTCACAGGATACTTCCCCTGGCTGTTTATGAAATGTCCATGATCTCTTTATGTTATGTGCTGCTCTTGAACGCTCCCACCTTTCAAAACTCTTTGCCGATTTGTGTGTATGTCAGTGCTCTGGCTCTCCAGCTGTTTCTTCTCTGTCCTTTTTATTGTCTTTTCTAGTTTTCTCCTGAGTATTCAGTATGTTCATTTTCAAGAAAATTTTAAATGCTTGATTTTCTCTAAGAACATATATTGTCCCAGGTGATATGAATGAGTCCTAGAATTTTTTTTCTTGAGTCTTTATCAAAATCTCAAGCTCCAGCTTCTATTTGTCAGAAATATGCAAGATTATCTTTAGTTAAAGCTTGGTTCATACTACTTAATATTCATTTATGCCCAGTATATAACTTTATTTTTCCCTCCATACTGATTTTACATTCTAATTTTTCCGTTTTTCCATAACAGCACCCATCTTCAGGTTTATTAACCTACCCTCAGACTAAAATGTCACCAGTTCTATCCCCTTGCAAGTGTTACCTTTCATCTGTTTCTTCATCTCAAGTCCTCTTCCCCAGTTCCACATTTACAACCTACACCCACCCTCAACTTGTCTGACCTGATCCCACGCAGTCAGGACTGCTCTCTGTGTCCATTTCCTTCAAGGTTCAATGTCCCTTCCACATGTGGAGACAAGTTATCTTATTTTGAATTACTGTTTTCATTACTTCTTTGCTTAAGACGTGAAGCTAGTGAACACTATTGTGTATTTATTAGAAAATTACACGGCTCAAAGCACTTTGACGTGAACTGGTGCTGGTTAGAGGTAGCGTGGAGCCCTGGAAGCTCGCTCTCTATGGAGTCAGAGCTCCTGAGATGCTGCCTTTACTGCTGTTGGTAAACTTGAGTCAGCGAGGTCCTCTTTCTAAGCCCTTAGCTTTCCTCTGAAGGTAAATTGCAGAAGCTAGTTAACATCTCCAACTTGTATTTAGGTAGCCTGTCAGATTGAAAATTATAAGTGAATTCAAGCTATTTAGGAAAAATGAACAGTCTCAAACATATTCTTATCATGGAGCATTGTTTCACTACCTGTATTAAAACTTACCATATATTTATCTTAAAATACAAACAAAACTAAACTTAGCCCCCAAATTACTGTAAAAGCAAATGGTTGCCAGTCATTGTTTTTGAGAGGTCTGTTATATTAATTCCAATCTGGAATATTCATTTAAAAATCTCTTTAAGTATGTGGTTCTCAAATATACAGCCTGACAAAGGAAATTAGAAAAATAAAGACAGGGTGTTAAGTGATTGTAAAAGCAAAATTTATCCAGGCTAAATGACTATCCTTATTCTGAGATTATGACTTTTAAGCATTTAGTATTACACTGCAATTTCTTTCATGAAGGCTGGGGATGGTTAATAGTTTCATTCTTAAATTATTATATTATTACTTTTATGTTATTTAATATTCCTACATGGCAAATTAAAGAGTTGGTAGCATATTAGTCGTTTATATTTCCAGGGAGGATTTTATAGGACCATGACTTGCAGAAGCCCTGGAATGTGCTTTTTGTGTCACTTAAATAATATTTCTGAAAGAATGGGGAACTTGTACAACCCTGTACTTGAGACTGCTAACTATAATGTCTCATCAGATGCTTCATAATGAAGAGACTTCTTGGCATGAAAAGAATGACTTGAGTGTTAGAGAAAACCTTCCGTTTGTCTTGGCTAGATCAGACTCGGGCAGACATGCTCCTAAGGTTAGTGTCAACTTCTTCTGCCTGCCATTGGTACTGTCACTCTCTCC